CACACACACACACACACACACACATATATATATATAAATATAAATATATTAATATAAAACAATCATTACATCTATATATGTAAATGTGTAACAGTGTTGTGGTTAACATACAATATATAGACAAAAGTAAAATATAACATTATTGTTTGTAATCATAATTATTATTTTTATAGTTCATATAAAATGATATAGGTACATATATTATAGAATAGTTGTATGCTTCCCAGTAATGTTTATTTAGAGCAAATCATTGTGAAATATAGTTGTGTTGATAATAGTAGATTGAGGTATGATAAATGATGATTTCATAATCTTGAGTGTTATTGCCAGTTAACACAAATCTCTGTATATTGTTTGTATGACACAGCTGTGACTTTGACCCTGGTGTTAAATGGAATTTTCACTAATGCAATCAAGCTAGTCGTGGGCAGGTGAGTGAGTAATCTAAACTTCTTACAATGTTAACTTTGCACTAGATACTTTTATATTACATTTACACATCTCCCATTGACTGCCTTTGAGTACAGAAAAATTAACCATTTATTGAAAGCCTAGAAAAGACTAGTAAAGGAGACTTGATAGCCTCAGGCCTAGTTCTTTTTCCCTTTAACTTAATTTCTGCCTCCCTGCCAGGCCACGACCTGATTTCTTCTACCGCTGTTTCCCGGATGGCCAAATGAACCCAGAGCTTCACTGTAGCGGTGACCCGGATGTAGTGATGGAGGGCAGGAAGAGCTTTCCAAGTGGACACTCTTCCTGTAAGAGCAGCTGCCGGGTTTATTTAGTGGCACTTTTTACAGTCACCATGAAACACTATTTACAAAGTTTTGCATCTGTAATCTGACATATTTCTGAAACGAGAAAAAGGTAAGATGGGACTTTTGTCTGCCTGAAATTGATTGGATTGTAAAAAGTATTTTTTGTTTTTTTATTTATTTATTTATTTTTGAGTAAATGGCACAAATGAGTCAAGCACAATAAAACTGAGGAGATGTTAAAGAGGTTAATAGGGGTCATTTTGATATTATGTAGACTTTAAACTTATTTTATGCCCTAAATACAATCAAAATTATTCATTTTTATAATCTGTATTAAAATTGTAATCTTTATTATTTAAAGTAAATTTAATTAAAAAAAATACAATTTAATTACAATATAATTACCGCTTAGTTAAAAGTTTGAGGTTGGTAAGATTTTTTAAAGTTTCTTATTCTTACCAAGGCTGCATTTATTTGATCAAAAATGCATTAAAACCAGTAATATTTTGATTTTTTTATTTGTATTTAAATGAACTGTTTTCTAGTTGAATATATTTTAAAATGTAATTTATTCCTGTGATACAAATCTAAATTTTTAGCATCATTACATCAGTCTTCAGAAATCTAATATTTAAACGTTCAGAAAGATCAAAGGAACAGAAAATAGAATATCTTTTCTTTTAATATTTACTTTCACTTTGAGCTAATAATTTATCAATTTATTATTAATTTATGTGTAAATAAGGTGTCCTTGTTAAAAAAATTTTTTTTAAATATTTCCAGCCTGAAACGTTTGAATAGTAAAAATACAATAGAATAAAATACAGTTTTATGTTCCGCTACCTGCGACTCTAAAATCATTTTATGTTGTCATAGTTGCGTTTGCTGGTCTGGGCTTCACTGCCCTGTACTTGGCTGGGAAGCTGCACTGTTTCAGCCCAGTAGGCCGTGGTAAAGCCTGGAGGTTGTGTGCCTTCCTCACCCCCCTCCTCTTCGCTGTCATGATCGCCCTCTCCAGAACATGTGACTACAAACATCACTGGCAAGGTGAGATTTTCATACCCTCATCACAGACCTACCTTCATGTATAGTTTCAAAGCAGTGACATGATCTCCCGTTCATTCCCAGATGTGTTGGTGGGATCCCTCCTCGGTTTGGCCTTCGCATACTTATGTTACAGACAGCATTACCCAGCTCTCAACGACTCAGACTGCCACAGACCCCTCCGAATGAGAGAGGCCACGGTTCCTGCGCAGGAACGCAAGCAGGCCAACCCAGGCTACCTCTTACCTTTGTAGAAACTTAACCGGACCAACAACCATATACTGTGTGAAAGTTTACCAAGCTATTTGCTGTGATTATGTCTGTTTTTTTTGTTGTTGTATGTGTGACGCCTGTCAATCAACGAGCACTTCTCGTTTTTGCCTTCCTATACCGTTTTAGACATTCACAGTGAATGTTTTGTGTATTGTAGAGCACAAATGTCTTTGAAAATTTGTATCTTCTCAAGCTCTTTGACATTTATATGTGAGCTATCCTGGTGAAGAAATATCTGAAAACCGCTTCTAGGTCAATTTTAAAACGTTGCAGACGTATTTATAGAGATCCCCAGTGTATCCATACAGGAAATCCCCTGATATATTTGTCAATAAAGTTTGTGTCGATTTCTAATGTATCGGCTGGATTGTGATCTGATCATTTGACGTTTTAGCGGCTGTCAACACTGTAGAAGATTGCTTGCTATGAGGAGACCTTTGCTCCAGATGTTATCTGTCTATAGATTAGATTAGATTAGCTAGTGCCTTGTGGAACATCACTCTGGGGAATCTGCTGGAAGTGAGTCAATGATGTTGTTTAATTACATTTTTTCTCTGTAAAAACTATTAGTAATGTTTGATAAATTATTATCTGACATAAAATTAGCTTAGTATGAACTAGAGGTCTTGCACTTTAACCAGCAATTAAACTCATAAAAGGAATGTCATATTTTTTATATGTAGTTTAATATTCAATTCATTTTAGCAAAAACTATTTTAATGAATTGGTTTTATACCAAGAACATATCACATTTTGCATGCAGCCATTACATAATTTTCTAAACTACAGAAATGTAACATCCAAGAAAAAGCATCATTTGTATCCTTGATACAACATGGAAGACAAGTTTTCTCAGTTTTTATACAAACTGAACATTTGTCTCAGTTACACAAATTATTGAAGAAATATGTGGGATTATAAGAAATATATGGGATATTAAGTTTGTCAATAACTACAAAACATTTTTCCCACATTTTTAGAGGGAACCAAATAATATTTAAAAAAATATCCTACAGAGATTTTTATTTATTTTTTTTAAGGGAACCTATACAGAATTTTCCTTACAGGTTCATTTTAATAACCAAAAACCAAGAATTGTTAACTGAGAGGCTCATAAAACCCTGAAATTCTTAAGAAAATAAATGTGTAAGTAGTTAGGCATCGTTTGTAATAATTTTTGAAATTAGCGAACCACTATTGAGTAAAAGCTTAATTTTGGCTAAATTTGCAACCTGTTTATTGCAACTCTCTGGTGTAGATTTTATTCGATATAAGGTATAAATTACCAAAATAATAGTAATTTTAACTGTATTTAGTCGTTGCAATAAAGTGTTGTGAAATTGCAAACCTGAATAGAAAATAAAACCGCTTTAAACAGAATTATTAACTTTATTTGTACAACTTTAAAGGTGATTTATTTTCAATATTTTGATTTTTTTGTACCCTCAGATTCCAGATTTTCAAATAGTTGTATCTCAGCCAAATTTTATCCTATCCTAACAAACCATACAATGGAAAGTTTATTTATTCAGCTTTCAGATGATGTATTTAAAAAAAAAAATTGACCCTTATGACTGGTTTTGTGGTCCAGGGTCACATATTTACGTAATTTAAGATCATGATTCTAAAATGTGGAAAATAGTAAAAATGAACAATGACTAGTGTGTGTCCAGTGTGTTGAATTTTCTTGTCCAACAATTGTTTCAATATTTAATGTTACATTAAAATGGAAGTTCATTCACCACTGTGGATTTTTTAAAGGGGTCATATGATGCTGCTAAAAAGAACATTATTTTGTGAATTTGGTGTAATGAAATGTGTTTATGCGGTTTAAAGTTAAAAAAACATTATTTTCCACATACTGTACATTATTGTTTCTCCTCTATGCCCCGCCTTTCTGAAACGCGTTGATTTTTACAAAGCTCATCGTTCTGAAAAAGCGAGGTGTGCTGTGATTGGCCAGCTATCCAGTGCATTGTGATTGGCCAAATATCCCAAGCGTGTGACGGAAATGTTATGCCCCTCACATACTGTTATGATGCCCTGTCCGGCCGGAGCGATGATTCAAAAACATGAAAACCCATTATAAATGAGGCATTCGTTGCATCCAGTGGGGACATAATTATGGATTATAATGACTTATACTGTCTTTTTACGCATTGCGTTGCATTGCATCGCGCCGCGTAAACATAAAACTCTGTCTGCATTTGTGATCAGAGAAATGACAAACAACAAGTGCTACTCTACACTGCTCAAAACTCCCGTTTGAATCGTCAGTGGCAAATTCTTTAAATATAAAAAACGTACTTAC